ACAGCACGGAAGAAGCACAAGAGCTTCAAAATATGGAGTGTACCAGGTGACTCAGAAGTAGTCTAATTCATAAATAAATAGCATATACATAGTTGTATGGGGTAACATTGGGTATAAAAGAGTTCTGGGTAGCTGGGATGTGACTATAGTTTATCCTAAATACCTCTTTGATTTAAAAAAAATCCTTTAGCAAAAAATATATTGAGAAGCAAGGTGAGAGTATTAGGTCTGTGTTTAGGGAATTGCAGTACAAGCTAGGCATAAAAGGTACTGAGCACGTAGGAGAAGCTGAGATGATATGCTGTGATTGGTCATTTGGCTGCATGGAAGAAAAATTAGACTCTACTTGGCAATGTTTCTTGTTGCAAAAAGCTAAATATCAAGAGAAAAGCAACAGAATATGAAAGTCTTTAAAAAAAAACAAAGCAAAACAAAACAAAGCTGAAAATCTTAAGAAAAACCATGAAGAGTGGCAGCATTTAGAAACTGCTAGGAATTCAGTGACCCTTTGTGACTCTGGCAATAAAGAGTATCCATGATAGGGATCAGAAAGAAAGTAAAAACAAAGTTTTCAATGGTCTGGTGAGCAGATGGCTCTACACTACCTAGGCCTTCTAAAGTCGTGTCCATTTGAGTATCAGCTTTTGACTACACACTAGTGTACACATAGCTTCTTCAATGAAGTATACTCAGACTCCCTAAATATTGCATGTGGTTAAGAACATGGGCTCTGGGACAACTTTTCAGTGATTAAATCTTGAGGCTAGTCATAATATATATGGTGGTGACTACCTGATAAACCCTGTACTTGAAAGGGGGAAACAAGAGTATTGTAAGTTCTAGCCTAGTCTGTGATACACAGAACATTTGAGGCAAGCCTGAGGTACATAGTTTCAAACAACAACAATTAAAAAAACAAATAAAACAACAAAGCAAAGTCCAATTCTGGTGCTTAGTAATTTTAGGACTTGATAAGCAGGTTACTAAGTCTGTGCTGGATTACACTCAATTAAGTTGTTGGTCAAAAAGGTCTCATGGAAATTGCCAAACAACCCAAGAATAGAAAAATGAAAAAGAACAAGTTATGTGTCTGTTTTTTAAACATTTAAATGGAAATAATACTATCTACCTAAGGGAAGTATATACATACATACACAAATGTGTATGTATGTGTGTATATACATACATACACAAATGTGTATATATGTGTGTATATACATATATATATATGTGTGTGTATGTATATATATACTGTTTATTTAAAATAATAACCTGATACAGAGTAAGCATTTAATAAATGTTAGCTCTTATGTGTATATATGAGTAGTGAACTTAACTGTACATAGTACACTTAACTGTACTATGCATAATAAGCCTTAAAGACATGAGTGTTATAACTCTGGGATGTCTTACATTCAGTGGGCTTGTTACCACAAATGGGAATCAGTATGTGTTGAGGTGGGAAAGGAGGTATTGTTCTAACTGCACAAGAAACTGTCCAGTGAAAAACATCAAGAAATTTTTTTAATATGGAGCTTCCAATCACATTCCTAAAAATCCCCAACATTCCTTTCTGTAAACCTGATCTATTACTCTTCTTTTAATCACCAAATCTCATTTAAGCTTAAAGAAAGATGAATGGGCTTCATATATTCCTTTTTTCCTTTAACCAGAGAAGTAATGTCTTCCTTTAATATATATGAAAGACATCATCTTGGATGGAGATACATTCTAGCCCCATGTTACCAAGGCAATATAGTCATTATCATCTTCATATACCATTTTTCTAAAAGTTGAATGGATATATTATAACAATAGTTGTCCTATCTCTGACTCATTTTCTTTTCTGTTGTTTGACTAGTGTTTGAGGAAGGAGCTCACTCTATACTGCAGGCTAACCTTGAACTTGGGGTGATTCTCCCTCTGCCTCCTCTGCCTCCTCTGCCTCTGCCTCTGCCTGCTCTCCCTCTGACTCTGCCTCTGCCTCCTCTGCCTCTGCCTGCTCTCCCTCTGCCTCTGCCTCTGCCTCCTCTGCCTCTGCCTCTGCCTCTGCCTCTGCCCCTGCCTCTGCCTCCTCTGCCTCTGCCTCTGCCTCTGCCTCTGCCTCTGCCTCCTCTGCCTCTGCCTCTGCCTCTGCCTCTGCCTCCTCTGCCTCTGCCTGCTCTCCCTCTGCCTCTGCCTCTGCCTCTGCCTCTTCTCCCTCTGCCTCTGCCAAGTGCAGGGAGTGCAGGTGTATGCCACTATGCCTGGCTTTAACACTTCCTTCATAACACTGTTGAATATTGTCAACTATTGGGAAATTGTATATGGCATGAGGGCAGTTATTTCCCCAGTACATGCGATCTCCAATAAACTGATGTAAGAATGATCCCTTGAACAATGTCTCCTGAAAGGGTGAAAAGTTTGATCAGAGAGCTAGAGCTAGTGTGAATTACTCAATGTCTGGATCCCTTTCCTGAATTTAGAACACAACTTTAAACCCTTCTGTGGTGGTACACACAATTATGACTTCATTAAAATGAGCAACCTGAAAAATCTATTTGAAAACTTTAAAGAGATGGGAAGACCGATGAGAATGAGGAATGCAGGGAGGAAGGGAGGGAGGGGAGGAGAAAGAGGAAGGGGAGGAGAGGAGGAGAAAGAGGAAGGGGAGGAGGGGAGGAGAAAGAGGAAGGGGAGGAGGGGAGGAGAAAGAGGAAGGGGGATGAGCTACATATTTTTTCTGTATAAAAACATTCTAACTTTGAAAACATAACACTTCACACCATAGTCAGGATATTTTGAAATACATACTTATGAAAACCATTTGTAAGCGGACTGACTGAGCAAAATATTACAACAAATTATCTTATTAGATGGAAAAATATTTTACATTAACCTTTAAATCAGAAAAGAATTATTCCTCAAAACTTCAAATTTTACTTTCCTGCACACTGGTATATAAACTCATCAAAACACTGGTGTGCTATAAAAGAATATACTATTTCTATAAATAATTAAATTTAGTCCTCTCAACTTGTAGCATATGTCCAGTTTACCTGGGAATCATTATCTGAAAGGCCAGAATGGTATAAGGGAGAAAAAATAAACACAGATGTCTTTTTCAATCAGATGATTTAATCTATGAGTTCAGGATCTACCACTCAGTAGGTTAAGATCTCAGGCCAGTTACTTACACTCTGAGTCTCGATCTCAGATTTCTTACCTATAAAATATAGAACACATCACCACTATTGTTGCCATGTAGGGTTGTTAAGAGCTTTAACTGAGAGTAGGAGTTAAATCATTGTAGAAATGTTTTACACATCCACCGTGACCCAACAACTGTATTGTAATTATACCTTTAATAGAATAAAACCATTAGAGAATTAAACCGATCCATTACTAACACACAAATAAAATGTAGCCATGAAGTAGCCACCTGATTGAATTTGACATTGTTCATGTGCTCACCATGAACTGAGAGACAGCAAGGGCATGCCATCATTTCCTTTAATGTAAACATGGTATTAACACAAAAAAGTGCTTCCCAGATACAGTAATTCCAGGAGCATAACAAAGTCCAATATTTTTCACTGCCAGACATCTCAGCCAGTATTATCAGCACACAAGAAACCGCTATGTACTGAACAAAGCAATGTTTTCTATGAGAATATATCTCTTCAATTTATAGTGACAAAATGAGACATCTCTGAATTTAACCAGAGGAGAACAACCTCAGCAACTTGGCACATTAAAATGTACAGGCACAGCTCTTCAGGACTCATGCCTGCATTGGTAGATGAAGAAAACATGTAGCAAGCACAACTTTCCAACACTTACAGGGAGGAAACCAAAGCTATAAATTCAAAGCAATGGGCTGCTGGGAGACTACACAAACCTGCTGTTGCTTTAATTGCAGACAAGTCAATTCAGCAGCTGTTGGTCCAGAGACCAAGGTTCACTATATGCTCTTCAATGCTACCTTGAAATACTGTCACTCAGCCCCTTCTCCACATCATCTGCATGCTGCCCAATTAATGAGGAGCAAAATCAAATGTGAAACCACACACCAAAACAGAACATGATCTTTTAGCTTATCCACATAGGAGAACATTCTTTTAAGAATGAAATAAGAATGTAGATGAAAGTCCTTGTCAATAAATGATATGCAAAGTTATCAAAAACATGTGGCTAGAGGTACTAAGCTCCTGTTCTGTTCAGTGTGGAAAGTGAAACTTTCTCAAGGTTTCTTATTTGCAAGGGTCCTTCTTGTCTAACAGCTGTATAACAACCCTTAAAACAGCATGCATAAGTAGCTGACCAGAGCCCGAGAGTTTATATTATTATGTACTGATATGTTTCTGAAAGCTTAAGCAAACACTTCAGGAACATTTTAGATCCAAGGATATGTCACAATAAGGTGGCTTAGGGATGGCATTGTTAGCCTTGCTGTTCCCAGCACTTTTTGGTTTCTACCGTGAGAATAAACACAAATAATACATAATATTCATTAGCCGGAGTCCAATACTGAAAGGAAAATAAACTGACGTAAAAGATGTGCTCTGGAACGCTTCCCATTAGAAGTTTTCTCACTCTTAACAACATGGAAATCCACACAACCAATTAAAAAAAAATACAGAAGCTTAAAACTCAAGAGAAAAACAACACACTGAGAGTTTAAAAATTGCTTTTTGCTTCCAAAACACTGTCTTGTGTGCAGACACTGTAGGCATTATCACATACTACCAGTTGCAGACGTAAGACTTGAGAAATTCAATATAAGAACACAGCAGAGAAGCGTGCACAATTAAGGGATCGCGACTAACAATTTAACAGAAAACCCAGATTTCACACGGCAATCTACCACATGCATAGCTAGAGAGTTTTATGCAGCTATTTTGTTTAGCTTATTAGAATCACATTTGTATTTCTGTCCAGTAGAACAGGAAGGGAAATAAGGGAAAGAAATTCACTTTGAAGCCAAAGGGAAATTTCAGAGAAAATAAAACATACTATACCTGTATATTGTACCAGGAACATTGTGACACTCTTCGGGGAACTGTTTCACGTTGTATCCTATTGTGAGTTGTTCCTTCCTGACCCTCTACTCTCCTCAAAAAGAAAAGCCAAAGCACCCTAACCCCCCACTACACACTATCCCTAAGCCACCCCCCTGCCATTGATGGAAAAGAAAAAAAAAAACACACACAGCCAGGATTCGGCTCAGATCCGATGCTTCTGTTAAGCTCAGCTCCAGCCGAGCAACTGAGCTCCAGCAACGGAGCACGGGGAGGTGGATTCTGATGCCAGTAACACTTCCATCCACTTCACTTACACAAAAGCAGGCAGTGGAAAATCCAGGAGCCTTGAAGACAAGGGCTGGAACTGCCTTTTATGAATTGCTATTACTGCATGTGTCACCATCCATCTCCAATGACGGACACTTATAGGCTGAATTGGGAGTGGAGGGGGTGGGTGGGGGAGGTTGGAGAGCAGGTGGAGAAGCAATTAGCAGTATGTTCATTGGAGAATTCGTTCGGGATTTCATACATCAGTGCCTAAAGAAACAGCATGCAGTTGACAAATCAGAACTTTACGATTTGCATGCCTTAAAAGAAATCTTAGCTCGAAGCTCCAATGAAAATAACACTTACCCACACTTCCAGGGTATAGAAAGTCACCTCTCTACTTTCTCTTTACTCTGGCTACCCTTGTTCCTGACAAATCAACATTCTGAATGAATATTTGCTCATTTTCCCTAAAGAATTACATTTAAACGGCTGAGAGCAAAAGAAGTATTAACGAAATTAAATTCTATTGAACATGACATCTCTTAACAAAACACAAGAAGCTAATTATTTTAAGCCAACTTTTTATCCTTACTCCCATTCTCCAGGTGCAGCCTCCACACCTATAATCAATCGATCATACACCTTTCATGCATGTATTTAACACTGAAAAAACATGTCTATCTAAAACTACTTCATTAAAAGGAAAGGTGAAAAAAATCCAAGAACAATGTGCAGGACTCGTTTAATAAGTGAGCTTAAGAAATCACTTTCTCTGAAAGTGAAATCACTTTCTCTGCTAAAGTGAGGCACACTCCTTTAGACTGATTTTAAAAATTATCTATGAATAGAAACAGTACAGAAGGAAATTCTTATGGAGAAAATATGATATACTTGAAGGAATACCTAGGGGTGGATTTTGAGGAACCTAGATTCCATTTCTACAGTTTTGTGACAGCAGATGAGGAACTTCTCTGAGCCTGAGCTTCTGTATGTACAAATTGAGGATGATGGTACACATCCTGACAGCTTCACAGGACAGGAGTTATCATATGAAGCTAATAAGATAATGGATGTGGCTCTTCTGTCAATTGTAAAGGAACAGGCAATTGTATGATGTTATTATTATTGCACCATGAACCAGCTCCTGCTTTAATGACTTAAGTGAAACACCTCTCCCACATAAGGAAACTAAAAGGGACAAATATAAATAAATCATTGTTTAATTCTTCACATTTTCAAATTAGAAACATTGTTTATGCTTAGAAGTCCCCAGGAAGGATTTATTTCAAAAGAAATATTTTAAAATGTAACCCATAATACACCTACAGTTTGTCAAAGAAACTGGAACCCTCAATTTCTCTTTTTAGAAAGTCTGTTAATCAATTTTCCATCATAGGATCTGAGTTTTATGTCCCATCTAGAATGCTAACTATTGGGAAATAAATATCTTCTTTTCCTCAATCTTTCTATTTATCTGGCTCATCCTCTATGCCCAGTATGTAGGAAACGATTTGATTTGATTAACCAACTCTAAATCTACAAGGTAAAAATCCAAAGTCATGATTTCTACAGCTCTGAGCTGCCTTGATACTATATATACAGTGACCAGCTGGCTTATACTGGGAGACAATTTTAGCACATGAAGTCCTGGGGTGGTCACACCTGGGATACTAAATGATCCAGGCAATGTTTGGGGACCTCCAGTTCAGCCAAATCCCACATGTCCTGATTTCCATCTGTATGGTAGTTACCCAAGTGTGTGTCTGTCCACATGGGACAAATGTGAAACAGCCAAAAAAAAAAATGCAGAAATATCAGATGTCAGCTCATCTTGGCCTCTTCCAGTGCCATCTGTGTCTTCAAACAAGTGTTAGGCCAATTCTTGCAACAAGAAAGAAAACTTTCTAATTGCTCTTTCGAATATCATTGCCACTGCTGAAAATGCCAGTAAAATATTTATCTGAAATCTATTTTAAATGGATGGGGGAAGTAGTAACATGAATCACAAAGGGTTACCTGACTAGTAACTAAAACCAAATGAGCTATTTAAAAGGGGAAAGGGAGGAGCAGCTAGAAGGAGATGAGGGGAAAGAGCAGAGAGAGAGAGGAGGAGAGAGAATAAGTGAGTTTTCTTTCCAATCACACACTTGTGGGGTCATGGCAAATCTCCTGTGCTTCCCTTTTGAAGCATTGTGAGTGGTACCTTTTATAAACAAACTGTAACCTAGCCTTCCACCTGCTTATGTGGGTAAACAAGATTGCAGAGGCACCGGAGGTCTGCACAGCAGAGCTTACTCCCACCCGCAAGCAGAAAGCCAAGCATGTGGAGTATGGATCTCCAGAGGGTTCCTAACTTCAAGCGTCCACCACAGCCTCACCTCTGCCATGGCTGCCAACTTCAGCTTCCACAAAAGGATAAGAAAGAAACAATATCTGCATTGCAGAATCTGGGTGTTCCACTTTTGGGCAACGTAAATAACTTTCACAAACTCAAGTTTGAAATTCAAATCCCTCAAGTTCCTCAGAAGTGCCATACCAGCAAAGGGGAAAGGATTAGGAAAACGATTTGTCAGCATTGTTCCTTCAGTCAAAATATAAAGACCCTATCTACAAGATGACTGACAGACTATCCCAAAAGCAATGAGGTGAAGGGCAGCACTTTTAACCCGCACGAGCAAGAATGGAAATGAAAACTATTGGCATCCTGACTAGAAGAAATGCCAAAAGCTACTGTTAGGTCCATTACCCTGACTTCACGTTTTAAAATCTAAGCATAAATGACATCCTAAAGTGCTTCCCCTCAGTTGTCACTCCTAAGTCTGACTGCTCTTTTCAAATAAATTAGGGTCATTGGTCATTTGGGATTCCAGGTACACTGGTCAAAAATTAAAAGTCCCAGCATTGTACGCACTCAGCCCCCATGAACATGGGTCTCAGTTAGGAGGCCTGAGAAGTCTAAGGGAGCTCAGACAGTGGAACCAGGATGTATCCCTGGTGCACAAAAGGACTTTGGGAGCACATTCCCCATGGAGGGATACTCCCTTAACCTAAAGGCAGGAGGGAGGGCCTAGTCCCTATGGCCAGGAAGAGGGAACTGGGATTGATATGTAAAAAACAGTCCCAGTGGAAGATTTCAAAGAATCAAGCACTGAACCAAACAATGGACCTCAATAGGGAGAAAAATCACAAATTTGCTAAACCTTGAAATGAAAATGTTAAGAGTATAATCAAAGTAAAAAGTAAACTAATTTGAATCAGAACAAAGTTTCATGTTTTCTGAATCCACTGAAACCTTGAGAACAAGCTATTCAGGTTTCCTGTAATGAGCACCCTTTAAATGCTGACTGACTTGCTTGAAAGCTCCAAAAGGAAGCAAAGAAGCAAAAACAAACAAACAAACAATCAAACGATAATGAGAATGGACTCTGCCATTTTTTTTTTTAACTGTTTGACCTTGTTCAAGTCACTTCTGCTCTCTTATTAGCCTTACTTTGATGGCTTGGAAATGGATGTGCTGAGATTGCCAATATTTCAAGCCTAACAGTTGCTGCCAATTGTGATTTTTTTCTAGTGGAAAAAAATTAAATGACATCACAGTTTGGCCCTGATGGCTAAGAAGCAGAGACTCACTGATCACAACTTCTTATGAGTTTACCTCTCTAGCTTATTTTGAAAGGTTTAACATGAAAGGTAATAGCTGGCCTAGTTCAGACTCAAGAAAAACAACACCCCAGCAGTCTTTATTAAAAAGATGTCTGCTCTAAGAAATGCTTTAGGAACATTTTGCTATCCTCATATAAAAGTTATAGGTGAACAGTCTGGTCACCACAAAAAAAAATATGAAGGGAGGAGAATAATCTAAAAGAAAAGGTGATCACCTATTGTATGCTAGGCATGGCATGGTATTTTACATAATTGCACTAGTAAGTCCCCATAATACAGTGTTGTTTAGGTATTATGTACATTTTTCTAAGCAAAGAACGGGACAACTTACATTAAATGAGTGCTTAGTCACTCAACTGCTCAGATAAGATTTTCAGCTCAAGCAACCAGAATTCATTACTATTCCAACATCACAGTGATTAGGACACATTTCCTAAGTCAATCACACAATTGAAATTACTTGATGAATAAATCACATGCTGAGCCTATCTAGTAAAGGTAGACTTCTGTGTATTTCTATTTGTTTTTAACCTTTGTTTATTGTTGTGGGGGAAGGGAAGCACAAGTGGACTTAAGAGGGAGTTGGTTCTCTCATTCCACTATGTGGGTTCCAGGAATTGAACTCAGGTCATCAGGATTGGCAGAAAGCACCTTTACCATTTCTCTGGTCCCTTGTTTTGTTGCTGCTTTAAAATGTCATCTGATTATGTCGTGTAATGGTGGGGGACTATTAGGTTCTCCAGGCAGACAGATTTGAGTTTCTTGTTCTGGCTTATGGACCTGACAGTGCTGAGTCTCAAGTTTCCTTGTGTGGCAAACAGAGAAAATAGTGTGTCATCAAGGTTTTTGTAAAGTGTCACTGATGTGATGGCAGCTAGCACAATACTTGGCACAAAATTTCTACTCAATAAAAGCAGATTAGAGGACTCTCTGAATTGTAAGTGACACAGCAAAAGAAAGAAATATTTGTTATAAAGAAAAGAAAATTAGACTTACGGAGCACAGATGCTCTTTGGCATAGCACAGATAGAATTAGAAAGCAGCCCAACCACAGCCTCCAAAATTAAGTTGCATCACATGATAAATGAAACCAAAATGTATGCATTAATTGGTGATATTTAAGCAACAACAAGGAGATTTGCCATGGACTACAACTAAGCAACAGTTGTGTCTAGTTTCCTAAAATGAATGCTTCTA